GTTACAAAAAAATGGTTTAATCAATAGATTACCTAGATTAATCTTAGCAAAGAAGATAATTCCATAGATGTATTTTATAATAGTGTAGAAGTATATAAAAAGAAGATCAAATGTATTTTACCTAGGCTTATACTAGAGTAAGTTTTGTTATCTTTTGTGACTATTTAAATTAATTATATCTGTTTATTTGTATCTGTTTTTTGTTTCCATTCTGTAAGCGGCGGGACACCCGCTGTTGAATGCGAATTGAAATTTTTAAAAAATAAAATTATGTATTTGTAAAACTTGGTGATTATATTGTAAACTAGCAGTGAAAATCAAAATCAAAACACAGGCTTGACCCTTTCTATACAGTTCTATATTTCATTTTATACTACTATTTCTTCAGGAATACTAGCAAGAGTGACTGACATAATCAGTAATTTGGATAGTGTGATACAGAAAAAAACTCTACAGTATAGAGATTTGAGTTTCTCGAAGCATGCAAAAGCTATCAGAGATATTCAACTGTATTAGCAAACAATACCATTGTTTACATTTATTACAATGGTCTGATCTCAATGAGGCTCTATCCAGGAAAAAATTACTTTATAAAAAAAAATAGGGGGTGGAGGAAGGGTGTTTATTTGTCATCAAGTGTTGAATAACAATTTTTTTTTATGTCAAGGTTGTTGACTCAGGACTAAACTTTCTATTTTGATATGAATTAAAAATTGTTACTGTAGCAGTGATTGTTAATTCTAGGAGCAATTTACAGAAACTAAAGGTAAAAAATAAATTATTGCATTAAAGGCAATGTAAAGTTCAATGACATAATAATAGTATTGTCTTGTAGATAAAATATGGTTTCCCAAATTGCCTTAATATAGTTTAATCCTTATTTATAACAAAATTATATCATGTACATATTATATTAATACATATAAGCCAATACACAGTATATATTGATTGAATTGCTAACAAAATTTGATATTTTATTCTGAATGGTTTCACAGATATGAATATTTTTTTTTTAATCTTAATATTGGCCAAATTCCTTATACTTTTTTAAAATACTGTATGTTATTTAATAATAATAATAATAATAATAATAATAATAATTTTAATAAAATAATAAGAATAGTAAGAATAATAACTTATATAGCGCCAATTTCAACTAAACCGAAGTAAAAATCAAATGCGCTTAACATTTTATAATAAAAAGGTGCGTCTTAAGTTTTGTGTTAAAACAGCAACTGATGGTGATTCTGTAATATGTTTGGGCAAGGAATTCCAAAGAAAAGCAGCTGAAAATAAAATTATATATGACCAAAGGTTTTGGTGTTAATTCGACAAACTACTAAAAAGGTTATTATCATAAAAATGGAGGCAGGTACTGTAGGTCAAAAAGGTAAATGGGTTGTTTGTGAAAGTACTTCGATAGTATATGCTCCGTGGCAAGGGTCCCTAAAAACAATAACATAGTCTGGTAGATTAATTATGGTTTCCCAAATTGGCATAACATTCTTACATTTTTATTTTATAACATAATTATGTCATGAAAGCTATATATAAATACACATAAGCCAATGTATATATTTGTTCACATAAATTGTCTACACAATTTTATATATTTTATTATGAATTGTTTCACTGATAGGAATAATTTTTGTATTATTGGCTAAATTCCTGATAATTCAACTGGTTGCTTACCTTTAAAATAATTACTGAAATTTATTTAAGTATAGGCCCAGTGGCAATCCTTAATACTTATTAAAACTGGAAAATTACAATCAAATTCAATGAGCTATTGTTTTTTAATGTGTTGCGAAGTACCTTTGTTTAATCTGTGTGGTATAAAAAAAATATTTACAAGGAAATTTTTAAGAATTGTAGTGATATATGCTGCAGTGTATGACAAATACACACACAGGCTTATCATGTAGGTTATTTCAGAAATATTTTTCTGACTATATAACAGATTATGATATGTTTAAATTGATTATCGCACTGGAAATGATACGTATTGAAGATGTTGTAGAAGGCTATTTTTTAAAACATATAAAATTTAAATATGTGCATAATTATCTTGTGCATTTTTCAATTTTAATAGTAATATTATAAAAGCAGGTAAAATTGCCCTGCTGGTGTGCCTCTACCCTTGTGTCTTAAAAC